CCCATAGTTAAGAACAGAGCCTACTGTAGCAAAATTTGAGTTAAACACACAATGATTTGAGTTAAATACATAATGCTTCAAGTTCATTACACAATACTAATACAATATTACACAACAATTCTGTTCCAGCTTATATACACATTCGACTTAAGGACAGACCTCAGGAACAGACCTCGTTCTTAAACTGGGGACTCCCTGTAGGATCCTGCACTGAGTCGGTGGGGGATAGACTGGATGACCTCTACAAACATTTCCAACGCTGGGATTCTGTGAAAGGTCGGACGATCGAAGGGCAGTTGGTGCCCATCGTGCTTTTTGAGCTGCTATGACCAGCTGGGAAAATAGGACCTTGAAACAAAGGAACTTAACTTAAAGAGTCGCTGGGAGCCAGGTAGCATATATATTTAACTTATTATTATTGTTCTTTTTAACCAGTTTGGTGGCTTTTCTGTTTCTTAGCTTTTTAAAACTCTCATATTCCCATTTTCACACACACACACACACACACACACCCCGTTGCTTTAGCAGTATGAATTTCTCCTCCTTCCTAAAAAGGCTTTTGATCCATTCTATTTTTTTTTTCTTCGGTTTGATCAGGTCCACCTGTCCTTTTGTGACAAGGGGGGCACGCATAGGCGCGTGTTTGCCGTGAGCTGTAGACCCATTGCAACAGGACCCCAGTAAGTTATGTCTTGCCAACAAACGATCCTCTCAAGACCTCGCTAAACGACTACCAATTTACGTCGGAGCGTCTGCAAAATCACAGAGTTTGCCCACCCTAATTTTGAGTGTGGTCTTTCGGTGGTGGATGAAGAGTTTGTGCCGGCCGGTGACAAATCATCGGAGAAGTAAATTTTGATGGTTAAGAGGATTGAGAGCACAGGGGGCTGGTTTGAGTTTTATAGGGGGGCCCTTCACCCCATCTGCTGAAGTAGCCAGGACTCAGGAACCCAGAAACAACAGTGTTTCTCAACCTTGGCAATTTTAAGATATGCGGACTTCAACTCCCAGAATTCCCCAGCCAGCAAATTCTGGG